CCCCTGCCCCAGGGGGGCCCCGCTCGGAGGGAAGGTGAGAGAGACCCGCCCCCGCCCCGTCACACCTGGGCTGCAGGGGGGTTGGCCCCAGGGCTCCCCTGCCCTGGGCCCGGGAAAGCTGCCGCCAGCTCCCGGTGTGTGCGGGGCGGGGGGAGCCGGGTGGGGGGTTGCAGATAAGGGGGGGATTGAGGGGAAACAGGGATGTGTGAGGGGCAGGATGGGATGGGGGTAGGGGGTTGCTGGAGGGAGGATGGGGCGATGCAGGAGAATCTGGGGAGACTTATGGGCTGGATAGGAACAGGGCTGCAATAGAAGAAAACTCTGAGTGGGGGGGGGCACCCGGCACTGCGAGGGAAAGGGGGGATGTGGAGAGGGGAGGCTGGGAGAAGTCTGAGAGCAAGAGCAGACTGGCTGGAGAAGGGAGGGGTCGGGAAAATGAGAGGGAGAGATGCAAAGGCAGCTCCCCCACCCCATGAGGCAGGAAAGGGTGAGAAGCTTCCCCATCCAGCAGCCAGAGGGGAATTCTTTTACCGCAACTAGTTAATGATGCTTTGGGGGTCGGTGGAGGCTTCTGCCCAAGGGCTCAGAAGCACCAAGGCAAATATCCAGCCCCCCGCACACCCTGCTCCCGATGTATTATTGAGTGTTGGGGGCTGCCCTGATCTCATTTCCCTGCAGGATTCAGATCTCTGCCACACCGGTGTCCGACCGGAGTCACTGCTGGCTCTGGCAGGGGGTGAGTGCAGATGGGCCAATGGGATCAGCGTCTGCCTGCCTGTCCCTGCCCCCGATCTGTGTTGTGATAAAGTGACTGAGGGTTTTCCCAGCCTGGCAGAGCCTAGAGCGTCTGTCTGCAGGGAGAGAGCCTGGGGGGAATTGGGGTGTGATATGGACTCAAGCCTGTTCTGTAACCTGCCCCTCTCGCCCCTCTCGCCCTGACAGGCTGAGGAATCACGTCCACGTTTCACTCTAGATCGTCCCATCTTCCAGGGGACAGGGAAGGGAACTGGCTGTGATGGAGCCAGCTCAGGTAGGAGATTTTCAGGGAGCTGCAGGGGGGTTGTTGTCAGGGACGGCTCCAGCTTTTTTGCCACTTCAAGTGGCGAATGGGGGGCGGGGAAAGGAAAACCCGATTGAGTGGCCGCCGAAGAGGAAGGGGGAGTGAAGGACCTGCCACCGAAGTGCCGCCACAGGAGACCTGGACATGCCGCCCCAACAACGGACGGAGTGCCGCCCCTTTCTATTGGCTGCCCCAGGCACCTGCTTCCTTCGCTGGTGCCTGGAGCCGGCCCTGGTTGTTGTGGAGGGGGAGGAGCAAAAAACACACAGGGAGAGGTGTGGTGGGGACACAGAGTGTGATAAACCTCCTGGGACACATTCAACTTGGAGCCTGATGTTCTGAACAGGCCCATTGATGAGGAGGCGGTAGGGGGGAACATTCCCCCATTTCTGAACCAGGAAACACCCCCACGGGCAGGGCTGGGAAAACTGACCAGACTTCCGGTGCTGGAGCCTGAACCCACTGGCCAGAGGCTGCTGTGAAATACGAAGAGAAGCTGTCGTGATTCCTGTCCCTGTCTCCAGCTCAGAGCTCTGCTTCCCATATCAGCCTGTGGCTGGCAGGCGTGTGGGAAATGAGAAGACCCTACCCTGCTCTGTCTGCTGGGGGGACAAGGAGCTCTCATCTTCTCCCACCCCCTGAAGCCTCCTGGCTGCTCTGAGCAGGGTGGGGTGGGATTCTGCTACTCTGGCTTTCCCAGATCTTCCATTTTATTGACCTTTCTCCCCCATGAATTTTGGCTGGGGCAGCAGGTGCTGAGTGGGGGATTCTTGTTGTTTCAGATGCTGGTGACCTTCGAGGAGGTGGCTGTGTATTTCACCAAGGGGCAGGGGGCTCTGCTGGACCCGGGTCAGAGAGCCCTCTACAGGGACGTCATGCAGGAGAACTACGAGACAGTGACCTCGCTGGGTAAGGGACTCCTGTCCCCTCAGCTATTAGAAGCCGTGGGGCCTGCGTGTCTGACTCTGGTCAGGTTCTTCCCTGATTAGTTGGATTGGAGGGGAGAGTCATGTAGTCCCCAGCTCCAGTGTGAGAGAGACTTTCATCTCTATACCCCCTCTAGGGTATGTCTACACTACGGGATTAATCCGAATTTATATAATTCAAATTTTGGAAACAGATTGTATAAAGTCGAATGTATGGGGCCACACTAAGCACATTAATTCGGCGGTGTGCGTCCATGTACCGGGGCTAGCGTTGATTTCCGGAGTGTTGCACTGTGGGTAGTTATCCCAAAGCTATCCCATAGTTCCCGCAGTCTCCCCCGCCCATTGGAATTCTGGGTTGAGATCCCAGTGCCTGATGGGGCAAAAAACATTGTCGCAGGTGGTTCTGGGTACAGCCTCACCCCTCCCTCCATGAAAGCAACGGTAGACAACCATTTCGCACCTTTTTTCCTGGGTTAACACTGCAGACTCCATACCACGGCAAGCATGGAGCCCGCTCAGCTCAAGACAGCAGTCATGAACATTGTAAACACCTCGCGCGTTCTCGTGCAGTTTATGCTGAGCCAGGACCAGAAAAACGAGGCAAGGAGGAGGTGGCAACGGCAGCGCAGTGACAAGCGTGATGAGGACATGGACATGGACACGGAATTCTCTCAAACTGTGCGCCCCGGTGCTTTGGAGATCATGTAGTTAATGGGGCAGGTTCTATCCGTGGAATGCCGATTCTGGGCCCGGGAAACAAGTACAGACTGGTGGGACCGCATAGTGTTGCAGGTGTGGGACGATTCCCAGTGGCTGCGAAACTTTCACATGCGTAAGGGCACTTTCATGGAATTTTGTGACTTGCTGTCCCCTGCCCTGAAGCGCCAGAATACCAAGATGAGAGCAGCCCTCACAGTTGAGAAGCGAGTGGCGATAGCCCTGTGGAAGCTTGCAACGCCAGACAGCTACCGGTCAGTCGGGAATCAATTTGGAGTGGGCAACTCTACTGTGGGGGCTGCTGTGATGCAAGTAGCCAAAGCAACCACTGAGGTGCTGCTATGAAAGTCAGTGACTCTGGGAAATGTGCAGGTCATCGTGGATGGCTTTGCTGCAATGGGATTCCCTAACTGTGGTGGGGAGATAGATGGAACCCATATCCCTATCTTAGCACCGGAGCACCAGGGTACCCAGTACATAAACCGCAAGGGGTACTTTTCAATGATGCTGCAAGCACTTGTGGATCACAAGGGATGTTTCACCAACATCAACATGGGCTGGCCGGCATGTGGGCTGTTTAAACAGCTGCAGCAAGGGACTTACTTCCCGGACCAGAAAATAACCATTGGGGATGTTGAAATGCCAATAGTTAATCTTGGGGACCCAGCCTACCCCTTAATGCCATGGCTCATGAAGCCATACACAGGCACTCTGGACAGGAGTCAGGAGCTGTTCAACTACAGGCTGAGCAAGTGCAGAATGGTGGTAGAATGTGCATTTGGCCGTTTAAAAGGTTGCTGGCGATCGTTACTGACTCGCTCAGACCTCAGCCAAACCAATATCCCCATTGTTATTTCTGCTTGCTGTGTGCACCACAATCTCTGTGAAAGTAAGGGGGAGACCTTTATGGCGGGGTGGGAAGCTGAGGCAAATCGCCTGGCTGCTGATTACGCACAGCCAGACACCAGGGCGATTAGAAGAGCACACCAGGAAGCGTTGTGCATCAGAGAAGCTTTGAAAACCAGTTTCATGACTGGCCAGGCTACAGTGTGAAAGTTCTGTTTGTTTCTCCTTCATGAAAACCCGCCCCCTTTATTGACTCATTCTCTGTAAGGAACCTACCCTCCCCCTTCCCCCAGCTTGCTTTCAAAGGAAATAAAGTCACTATCATTTAAAAATCATTTATTCTTTATTAATTGATTATAAAAAGAGGGAGAGAACCCGGGTGGGGTTTGGGAGGTGGATCGGCGGGAAGGAAAAGTCCACTAAAAAAAGGTTAAAAAAATGACTGCCTTTTGCTTGGGCTGTCCACTGGGGTGGAATGGGAGGGTGTACAGAGCCTCCCCCTCCCCCCCGCGTTCTTACACGTCTGGGTGAGGAGGCTATGGAACATGGGGAGGGGGGAGGGGGGTTATACAGGGGCTGTAGCGGCACTCTGTTATCCTGCTGCCATTCCTGAAGCTCCACCAGACGCCAGAACACCTCTGTTTGCTCACGCAGCAGCCCCAGCGTTGCATCCTGCCTCCTCTGATCTTCCTGCCGCCACCTCTCATCTCGAGCGTCTCTCCTGTCCTCACGTTGGTCCCTCCTGTCCTCACGTTGGTCCCTCCTGTCCTCACGTTCGTCCCTCCTGTCCTCACATTCACTGGCTTCTTTCCTATACTTTGAAACCGTGTCCTTCCACTCATTCAGATGAGCTCTTTCACTGCGGGTGGATTCCATGATTTCTGCGAACATCTCGTCTCACGTCTTCTTTTTCCGACGCCTTATCTGAGATCGCCTTCGGGACGGAGGAGGGAGGCTTGAAAAATTTGCAGCTGCTGGAGGGAGGGAAAAAAGGAGAGAATTTTTTTAAAAGATACTGTGACGTTGTGCAGTCTATATGGTTTTATAAAAACTTGATAATAAGTCAATATAATGTAACTGAGATT